AATATCCACAAGATAGACAAATCTTGTGAATGTGAACATGCACATTAACAAAATCAGAAATGAAAAGGGGGATATAACAACAGACTCTGAGGAAATTCAGAGAATCCTCAGGTCATTATTTGAAAACCTGTACTCCACAAAATTCTAAAATTTAAAGGAAATGGGCAAATTCCTGGGTAGCTATCACTTGCCAAAATTAAATAAAGAACAGTTAACAATTTAAATGTATCTTTAACCCCTATGGAAATAGAAGCAGTCATCAAAAGTCTCCAAACAAAACAAGCCCAGGTCCAGATGGCCTCAGTGCAGAATTCTACCAGACATTCAAAGAACAGCTTATACCATTTTTTCTCCATGTATTCCACACAACAGAAGCAGAAGGGTCTTTGCCAAACTCTTTCTACAAGGCTTCAATAACCTTGATACCCAAGCCACACAAAGACACAACGAAGAAACAGAACTTCAGACCAATATCCCTCATGAACACTGATGCAAAAAATACTCATTAAAATACGGGCAAATTGGATCCAAGAACACATCAAAACAATCATTCATAACAATCTAGTAGGTTTCATCCCAGGGATGCAGGGATGGTTCAACATATGAAAATCCATCAATGTAATCCACCATATAAACAAGCTGAAAAACAAAAATCACATGATCATCTCACTAAATGCTGAAAGAGCCTTTGACAAAAATCCAACACACCTTCATGATAAAGGTCTGGGAGAGATCTGGGATAACAGGGATATACTTAAACATAATAAAGGCTATATACAGTAAACCAACAGTCAACATCAAACTAAATGGACAGAAACTCAACACAATTCCTCTAAAATCAGGAATAAGACAAGGCTGTCCACTCTCTCCATACCTTTCCAATATTGTACTTGAAGTTCTAGCCAGAGCCATACAACAACAAAAGGAGATGAATGGGATACAAATTGGAAAGGAAGAGGTCAAACTTTCACTATTTGCAGATGATATGATAGTTTACATAAATGAGCCAAAGAACTCTACCAGAGAACTCTTACAGTTGATTTATGCCTTCAGCAAAGTGGCAGGCTACAAAATCGACTCAAGAAAATCAGTAACTCTACTATATACAGATGATAAAAGGGCTGAGAAAGAAATCAGAGAAACATCACCCTTTACAATTGCCACAAACAACATAAAATACCTTGTGGTAACGCTAACCAAACAAGTGAAAGACCTGTATCACAAGAACTTTGAGTCTTTAAAGAAAGAAATTAAAGAAACCCTCAGATAATGGAAAGATCTCCCATGCTCTTGGATAGGTAGGATCAATGTAGTAAAAATGGCAATCCTGCCGAATCAATCTACAGATTCAATGAAATGCCCATTAAAATCCCAGCACAATTCCTCACAGACCTTGGAAGAACAATACTCAATTTTATATGGGAAACCAAAAGACCCAGGATAGCCCAAACAACAAGGCTATGTCTGGCGGCATCATCATCCCTGACTTCAAGCTCTATTATAGAGCTATACTCCCCAAAACAGCTTGGTATTGGCACAAAAATATACAGGTAGACCAATGGAATCTAATTAAAAACGCTGATATTGACCCACACATGTATGAACATCTGATCTTTGACAAAGAAGCTAAAAATATATAATGGAAAAAAGAAAGCATCTTCAATAAATGGTGCTGGCAAACTGGATGCAGGCATGTAGAAGAATGCAGATAGATCCATGTCTATCACCATGTACAAAACTTAGGCCAAATGGATCAAAGACTTCAACATAAATCCAGCCACACTGAACTTCTTAGAAGAGAAAGTGGGTGGTACCCTTGAATGTATTGGTACAGGAGAGAGCTTCCTGAACATAACACCTTTAGCATAGATAGTGAGATTGACAATTAATAAATGTGGTCTCCTAAAACTGAGAAGCTTCTGTAAGGCAAAGGTGTGTCAGCAAGACAAAAAGGCAGCACACAGAATGGGAAAATATATTCACTAACTCCACATCTGACTGAGGGTTGATCTCCAAAATTTACAAAGAACACAAGAAGCAAGTCTCCAAAACACCAAAGAATCCAATTAACAAGTGGGCTATATAACTAAATAGAGAATTCTCAATAGAGGAGTCTAAAATGGCTGAGAGGCACTTGAGAAAGTGCTCAACATCCTTAGCCATCCAGGAAATGCAAATCAAAACAGCTCTGAGATACCATCTCACTCCTGTCAGAATGGCTAAAATCAAAAACACCAACGACAATTTATGCTGGAGAGGATGTGGTAAAAGGTGGACACTCCTCCATTGCTGGTTGGAGTGCCAACTGGTTCAGCCACTTTGGAAATCAGTATGGAGATTCCTCAGAAAAATGGGAATAAACATACCACAAGACCCAGGAACTCTACTCCATTCATACAACAAAGATGTCTGTTCCACTATGTTCATAGCAGCATTATTTGTAATAACCAGAACTTGGAACCAAACTAGATGTCCCTCAACCGAAGAACGGATAGAGAAAATGTGGTACATTTACACAGTGGGGTACTATTCAGAAGAAAAAACAATGGAAACCTGAGATTTGCAGGCAAATAGATGACACTAGAAGAAACAATCCTCAGTGAGGTAACCCAGTCATAAAAAGAGAAACATGGGTAGTGCCAGCCTACAATCCCATGGCCAGAGAGTCTGGGAAACAGAAACAAGCTATTTAAAATTTATTTAAAAAATACCCCAAACATCAATATATTGTTTAGGCCGTTGACATTGAGGGATATTAATGACCATTGATTGATGATCCTTGTTTGTGCTTGATTTATTGTTAGTGAAGTTATTTTGTGTAGTTTCTCCTCCCTTTTTCTTTTGGTGTTTTATAAAGTGTGATTATATATTGCCTGTGTCTTTGTGAATGTAGTTATCTTCCTTGGATCTAGGTTTTCCTTCTAGCATTTTCTGTAGAGCTGGATTCATGGATACGTATTGTTTAAATCTGGCTTTCTCATGGAATATTTTTTTTCTCCATGGTAATTGAGAGTTTTTCTGGATATAGTAGTCTGGGCTGTCATCCTTGTTCCCTTAGCGTTTGTAGGGTATCTGTCCAGGATCTTCTGGCTTTCATCGTTTCCATTGAGAAGTCAGGTGTAATTCAGATAGGTCTGCCTTTGTATATTACTTGGCCTTTTTCTTTAGCTGTAGCTTTGATGTTTTGATTATTATATGGCGAGGTGACTTCTTTTTCTGGTAGAGCCTATTTGATGTTCTGTAAGATTCTTGTATTTTCATAGGCATATCTTTCTTTAGGTTAGGGAAGTTTTCGTCTATGATTTTGTTGAATATGTTTTCTGTACCTTTGAGTTGTATTTCTTCGCCTTCTTCTATACCTATTATTCTCAGGTTTGGCTTCTTCACGGTGTCCCATATTTCCTGGATATTTTGTGTTAAGGATTTGTTGGTTTCGAGATTTTCTTTGGTTGACGACTCTATATCCTCTAATGAGACTTCAACATCTGAGATTCTCTCTTCTATCTCTTGTATTCTATTGGTGATACTTGCATCTATAGTTCCTGATCGTTTACCCAGATTTTCTATTTCCAGCATCCCTTCATTTTGTTTTTTCTTTATCGTTTCTATTTCAGCTTTCAATCCTTCAACTGTTTGAGTTGTTTCCTTAAATTTTTTGGTTGTTTTGTTCTTGGTGCTCTTTAGATTCTTTGAGAGATTTGTTTATTTCTTGAAATTTTCCCCCATTTCATGGATTTTTTGTTTGTTTTTTCTTCTATTTCTTTAAGGGATTTCCTCGTTTCTTCTTTGAGGGTCTCCATCATCTTCATGAAATAATTTTTAAGGTCTGTCTCCTCTTTGTCTATGTAGTGCTTTTCAGGTCTTGCTGGTGTTGTATCCCTAGATTCTGTTGGGATCATGTTGGTGTTTCTATTGCTGAGTGAGCTCTTATTCTGTCTTCTTCCCATCTCTTCTTCCAGTGGGTGCTGGTGGGGTCTTTCAGTCTCCACTGGTCTCCTTCCTTCCTGAAGCTGAAGCTGGGGATGCTGACATGGAGTTTGGGGCCTGGAAGGGCTGATGTATTTCCTGAAGCTGGACTCCCTGGGCTTGGGGTCTTGGAATGGCTGACGTCTTTGCTGTGTGGGCGGGTCTCCTGAAGCTGTACTCGCTGGGGTTGGGGTCTTGGAAGGGCTGATGTCTTTCCTGTGTGGGCGGGTCTTCTGGATGCCAAGAGGGGCCCGGAAGATCAAGGGGATGGGTGTTGGATGGGCGGTCTCTGCCGGAGACCCAATCTCAACTGAAGCTGGACTCGCTGGGGTTGGGTCTTGGAAGGCAATATCCTGTTTTTAAAGGAAGACATCTTTCTGTTACCCCTTAGGCCAAATATTCTGTTGTAAAAGCAAAACACACAATAACCATACCTTAGGCCAAACATTCCATGGTTTGAACTTGAAGGAACAATAATATGCTTGAACTTGCTGACCTTATGTCAAGAAGGAACAGAGCCACGTCTATGGTTCCTTGATAAACAAGTTAAAGTACACTCCACGAATGTTACACATCACATGTGCACTTAGAAATGTGCAAATACTTACACAAAAATAGGTATAATTATCTAAAATGAAATAAAAATTTAAGACTGGAAAGGAAAAAAGATGATGAAGGAAATGGTCACCAGTAAGTAACTAAGAAAGCACTCCATAATCTAGAATAAAAGCAGGAAACATGTTTTCTTAGAGCTTCCACTGAAAAATGTCATTAGCCATCATCATCACTTCAGCCCTCAGTGGCTTCTGTAGGACACCAGAACTCCAGAAGAATAAAAAGAGTAATCCATCATATTGAAGCAACAGTTTGTGTTAATGAATTACAGAAGGAATAAAAGGATAATACTGAATTCTCCTTTGTACTTTTATAAAACGGATTTTTGTACCAACAGATATAAAAGGTATAGAACCCATTATTTCTCTATGCCCCGCAAGCATTTTCATGAGTATTTTATTAGTGGTGGGATGCTCAGGCAGAAGGAGGAAGTGTGCAGGTCCAGGGCTGTTTGTGTTACAGGCAGCTGGTGAGATTCGCAGAGGTGGTTTTTGTTGGAGACTGAAGCACTGTGAGAGGATAACTATAACTCTGCATACAGTAATAATCTGCCTGGTCTTCATCCTGGACACTGCTGATGGTGAAAGTGAAATCAGTCCCAGATCCACTGCCTATGAAGCGATGAGGAACCCCGGTTGGCCGAGTGGATCCCCAGTATATCAGCAGTTTAGGAGACTGCCCTGGTTTCTGCTGGTACCAGTTCAAATAGTTCTTCTGGTCTTCACTGTATAAAAGATTCTGACTGGAGCTGCAACTGATGGTGACCTTCTCTCCTGCTGACACAGCCAAGGAGGATGGAGACTGGGTCATCACAATATCTGCACAGGTGCCTGAAATCAGGAAAACAAGTAACCATGTGTAATAAAAGAACATAGAATTTAATACAAATCAAATATGTTATATAATATCCTAGTTCCATATTGTCAAAGTGCTATTGCATAAAAAAATACTACACCCTAGCACACATTGTAAATTTCTTATATACAAAGAAGTGACTTTGGAAAGATTATAACACTTTTCTCACCAGATATCCAGAGCATCAGGGACATGAGGGCCTGGGTGTATGACTCCATCTTGCTCTTCCTGCCTGTCTGATGATGCTTAGTTCTCACTATCAAGGCCTGGTTTATAAACTACAAGCAGCTGTGCTGAGTTGGAGGGGCTCATGCAAATCAGTCAGCAAGTACAATAGTAGATGCATGGGCAGTAGCTGTGACAGTGGCTGGTGTCCATCAATAGGCACATATACCATCACAGAAAACAAGAGATATCACCGAAAGAGATTGGCATTCAGCTCTCCAAAAGAAATCTACTAGGTTCCATAATAGAAGTTTTGGTTAAAATCCCATACATATTTAAATTAGGTGACCTTTGTAGAAACTTTAGGAGAGCTGTATCAAATTGGCAGTCAAAGGGAAACAATATGTAGGAAAAGATGCTGTGAGCCTTGGTCTGTTAATTAATTCAGTTTCATCTTCTACAATATTTCCTAAGATTTAGATGGAGGTGCTGTGTTGTGGATTCATCAGATGGGGACTGTACCTTAATAAATTGAGGCCAGTCACCTCGTGGCACTTATGCTCTGTATTTTGAACAGTTACAGATACCTGCAGTACTTTCTATTGAAAAGACGAGGTTCCTTGTTGAAGAGTGAGAGCTACAGTTATCTCTGGGTGCAGGCATAATTATTTAGAATTCTTTAGCTTGTTGTTAGAAATCTGTGTAGACACGACTGACCTTACACCTTATGGTGACTCTCTGGGTCACATTTAGGGGTTGGAGAGATGGGGTAGAGAGAATGAATGCTTTCTACACTTTCAGATGATCCAAGTTTGATTCCCTACGTTCATCTTAGGTAGCTCACAGTGAAGACATGGCCTGAGAAGTCTCTCTAGTTCAACCAATTTCCTCTAAAACCTCTCTACTCTTCTCTAGTCTCCCCACAAAGAAACCTACAATTCCTAGCTACACCTAAAGGTACTAACTGGAAATAGTATAGCTCTGATCTTTGTTAAAGTATGTTTTAATTTATGAACATAAGGAAAGCTATATCTAGAATTCTATAATGTGTAGTATGTAAATGGGACAATACAACAAATTTAGTTTTATTGGTAGTATGGCTGTTGATACAGAGTTGTGGTTCAAATCATTTTTGGCTGGCATTCCTATCACTACTTCTAAGATATTTGCAAAACAGCATGATTATTCTTATCCTGCCATATACTGGGATATCAATAGTCATGACTCTGCCCAGCTTGGTGACTGGTAGCTATAATTCAAGTATTTGGGAGCCTGAGGCAGAAGGAACTTAAACCATGTTAAACAGGAAATGCTACTCAGGAACACAGCTAAGCACCACCTCAAATATATATATATGTAGGGAGAGATCCTACGTACCCATTGCCCTGACCACACTTGTGTGTGTGTGTGTGTGTGTGTGTGTGTGTTTTCACAGGTAAGTATAATGTAAGGAGGATAAAAAGAGCTAGGGGGAGGAGGCTCTTTCTCTTGTGTTTCATTTGTCATATTGAGAGCAGAGTGTAAACATTTGGTTCTTGGCTACTTTTGCTTCTAATGTTAGTGATGTCTCTCTCAATCAATATCATAGAACATCCATATTTTGTATAGTTTTATATTTTTTCTCTTCTATCTTTCTTTTTTATTATTATTTTAACTATTATTTTTATTATTTATTTATTATTTTATTATTGTTTTAATTTTAAATAAACAGAAACTTCATTCAGTGGCTGATGGAAGAAGAGGCAGATGCCCACAGCTAAGTACTGAGCTGAATTCAAGAAAGCCAGTAACAGAGAGGGAGGACTGATGACCGAAGGAGTTAAGACTGGGCTGGTTTAACCCCCGAACCAGCTGACCTGACAAGGGTTAACTCTTGAATCCCAGGCTGATGCCTGGGAATCCAACATGGGACTGATCAATGCCCCTGAATGGGGGTATCAGTGAGGAGGCCTAGGTAATCTATTGAGCCTTGGAAAGTAGATCAGTATTCATCCCAAGTATACACATGGACTTTGGACTCCCATCCAACAATGTGAGATGCACTCTCACCCTGAATTCTTGGGGGAAGGGTCCAGACCCTGCCTTGGATGAAATGACAGACTATAGACACCCCCATGGAAGGCCTCACTCTCCCTGGAGAAATGAGGGGATAATGGGGGAGTTGGGGGGAGGGCACAGGAGGAGGGGAGGGAAAGGGAGAGGGACCTGGAACTGGCTTGTGAATCAACCATGTTTCTAATCTAAATTTAAACTTACAAATAATGAAAAATAGAATTCAACAATAACACAAATCGCAGAAACCCTACAAACTCATGGAAATTGAACAATGCACAATTGCACCATCCCTGGGTAAAGGAAGAAATAAAAAAAATAAATTAAAGACTTCTTGGAATTCAATGAGAATGAAGACATAACATACGCAAACTTATGGGACACTTTGAAAGCAGTGCTGAAAGGAAAGTTCATAGTACTAAGTGCCCACATGAAGAAACTGGAGAACAGTCATACTAGAGAATTAACAGCACTGCTGAATGTTCTTTTCCTTCTTTAATGCAAGAAAAACTCCTTCTCCATACGAGAGAGTAGCTAGTACTGTTAGTCAGACAAAAACAACAAGGTGATGGAAAAGAAGATGAAAAATGACTAAGCTAGCAGGGGTGCAACAGAAATACAGGGATGGGAATAGCTTTTTCAGAAGTAAGTACTTGAAAGCAAACTCAAGAGAAGGGATCTGGTCATACAAAGCTCAGAGAGGAGTCCTTTACAAATAATAGGGCCCTCATTTATGGAGGACAGAGGTCTGAAATGCATGGGAACCACACAAGCTCCTCCTTGTGAAAGAAGATAAAATAACCTGTGCATAGAGGTTAACATAGTTCTGAGACTCATGATTTGGGAAGTCTGTCACTTAGTTTTATATTAATGCTAAATGCAATGACACCCTGTGGCACAATAGTCACAATGCGTTCATGTTTACATTGAATACATTTTACTCCATGTTGTGCTAACCAACAAATATAAGAAAATATGGAGACTGTGAATCATACATACTGCAGATGAACTGTTAGGATGTTTTTTTTTCATCCATGTACAGAATGATGCCGATTATACTACCTGGACCAACAAACCTGTTCAAGAGACTATCCCTTGGGTGGTCACAGGCCCTAACGGAAAACATGCCATTGTTTTGGAGTTGGTTTTTGTTGTTGTTGTTGATGATGATGATGGTGATGGTGATGTTTCCTGAATGGACATGACTTCAAAATGCATTCTAAATCTTTTTTATATTTGAGCTCATATATTGGTGCTGTTAGCATTCATCCTACTGATCCTTATTGAAGTTGATAGTAGTTAAGGCAGAGGCTCACACATCAAAGTACAGAGAATATGACTGTGGCATGGTCATGCTTAAATGGAATGTCTCCCTCACCACAGCTCAAAGACCATCGTAAGGTGCAAAGGACATAAGAACCAGAAGGTCATGTTCTGTCTGACTTGTGTTCATGGCCATGTACTATAAGGGAAAGAGCTGAAGACAATGCAAACAGATCTGCACTTCATTGCTGCTTACATCTAGGATGAATGTCCCAGATGTTTCAGGTACCCAATAGAGATTTTTACTTCTATGGAGAAAATTCTCAAAGTTCACACTAGGAGTCCAGGAGGACTCTGGGTAGGAGAAACACAGGGAGGCAAGATGTAACCACCATAGGGGTAAGAAGTCCAGACCCTTTTCTCCATTAAGAGAAATACTTAGATTGCCAGCTTTGGGGTAAATACTTAAGTCAGAGATAGCCAGTAAGAAACAAGCAAGGCCAACAGCTTCATAATTAGTACAGCATCTTGTGTGTTTATTTGGAGACTACAATGCAGCAGAGCCCAGGTGACTGGTGTGGAAAAACCAAAGTGGCTATCAAGGAAAAAGCTTCTCTCTACAAAAGTGTTTAGTCCAGAAATGTATATTCTAAAGTAATCTAGAAATTAGCAGTACTGAAACTAGATTTTAAAAAGGTTGGTCTTGTCTACCCAGTGTAGAGGAAAAGACAATCCTAGAAGGCAGCCATCCTAAATCAAGTAAGTTTTACAGAAAGCAACCTCAGAGATTGTTGCTGTATGAAGGAAAAATGATAGAGTATTAATGAAAATCAATAGTAACAACAAAAATCACAGACCCTCTCTGAACCCCAAGTTAGTGGTCTCTGAAAGTATAAATAAAAGTGAATTATAAACCCAGTATTATGGATAAAGTAAAAGAAACAGAAAAATAAACGAAATATCATGTCAGTAAGTCAACATTCACATCTAGAATGGTAAAACCAGGGAGACATAAGAAGCAGCATCAAGAATTGGTGGCTAGCCTGAGGTACATAGCATGTTCTAGGTCAGCCCAATCTTTGCAAGAGACAATCTATCAAAAATATGCTATTAGTCAACTGGGTACACAGCAGTTCATAGCATTTAATATCTTAATTTATTAATATGATACCATGTTAACCAGTTAGCATTAAGTCAAGAATATTATTGATATTAAATATGTATTTAAGCAATATGCACTTCCCTTTTATTTTTCATTAAATATATAATTTTATACATCAACTTTGCAGGTACAAAATATTAAATTATTTCTGATAAGAATATTCAAATCTCCTGTGTCAAATGCTAGAGATTGTGAGTATGTTGAGAAATTCCTAATGTCAATATCAAGAATACTACATATGAGTTGTACCATTGTCTAAAAAGCTTTCATGAGCTCTCTATCTTTGCTAAACATTGTATTTTGCTGTATGACAGCTGTAGTGAGTTCACAATGTGCTTTCATGTCATTGAGAACTGCTCATTCAGATTGAACAATGTAGAGGTGTTCTTACAATTCCAAAGGCCAGTGCAGATGACAATGTGCTTTTCACAGTGTGTAAGGGAAAGATGGAGACTAGAAAGATGAAAATTTTATTATATAGTATGTGTATTATAGAAAAGCACTACAATTCTTGGTTACTTATCAGGTTTTCACAATATGACCTGGTGTATTTGATTCTGTGGGCTTTGGTTAAAGATGGAATATAAAACTGTTGGCTGAAAACAATATCAACTGATTTGCTACCAATTTTGGAGTCAAGAAGTCTGAAGCT